TCAATAAGCCATAAGTGCTTGTGCCCCAGATACATAAGACTCACTTTAGTGATCCGGGGCAAATTAGAGAAAAAATGAGATATTTGCTAGACCTCGAACGCAAATACGTTTGGCGGAGATAAAAAAAATCGGTCAGCACCTTAACATGAGAGACGGGCAGTAGGAACGGTTTTGTGTAATCGATCCGCCGCACGCGACTGTCGCGGACTATTTGCCTCGTCGTAACAGTTCTAGCGTTCTTCACACAGCTCGATTGCTATGCGATTATTACTTTTGGCATGATTCTACTGTTAGTTCTTTTGTTCCTGAATTTCTTACCTGCTGCTGCATTCTGCTACATCCCTCCGCGCGCGGTGTCTCTCTCGTCGCGACGCGACAATTTGTTCCTTCTGCACCACACCCCCTCAACATATTCCTCGAAACATCGGTTTACATTTGCAATATTACAGGCAAATCAGCATGGGCTACGAGAACAGAGTTGCTACTTTGATTTTGAAAAACGTCACCTTTGCTCAAGAAGGAACATACTACTGCCATGCCACGAACACCCACGGAACGACAGTACTGCCCAGTGAAGTTAAAGTTGTACCCGGTTAGCTACAGCTTCTATTCTCATATAAACCCAAATACGGAAATATTCGATACTCAAATGTGAAACTTTCAGAGAAAGCAACTGATACAGTAAGGATATCGCTGGCTAAGTATGATAAGCGAGAAGGCAGTGAACAGCTGATCACGAACGTCCATGCATATCATACTGATGAACTACATGAGCAATCGATTGGAGTACATGTTCCCGAAAAGGAGAGCGTATCTGGGCGATGTTCTGCAATCCCGAGCCGTTCGGAAAAGATTGCAGAGATGCCACCCGAACAGATCCAGAAACGAGCTCTCGAACAAAGTTCATCTCAGCAGGACTCTGGAACTGTGCAGTCTGCTGAGGAGCCTTCAGTTGTTGTTCGACCATCCGAGCAGCCGGCAGTTGATGTCCAACCTACTGAGCAACCTCCAGCAGTTAGTGAACCGACTGAGCCAAGTCCGATTCCACCACCCAGGAAACACACCCCGAAAGAAAAGGAAGTTGTAGTACCAATCATTAGGGAAACATCAAGGACAGAAGACGAAGTTCGAGAATCTGAGGTAGGTATCTCTAGACCTGATGCTTTGTTAACTGCAGTTATTCCGCCGCCTTATGAGGCTATCTTTCGACCCTTTGGGAGGTGACCTATTTCAATATGATGCTTCGTTTGACAGCTGTTATTTCGCCGCAATGTTAGAGTCACAGAAGAGTGGCTAGTTGTGAGCAAAACTGCATCGGGCTGGATTCGTCCCGCTCGTGCTTGTGCTTTCTGAGCGCAATGCTCTTTATCCCTGAATATACCGAAAGTGCTTGCCCTGGCTTTCTTTAAGCTATAGCTGAGCTATTACTTCGGGATAAATAGGGTCCTCACTCGATACCCTCGTGAAACTTTCAGAGACGTCAATAATAGCGCATGTTGTGACGGTGGGATAGCACGAACTTGATAGTCTTCAAGGTTCCCCCGGTCTCTTACTGTACATTGAGGAAATAGAAATTAACTCGGTGACGCATCGTTTTTGGCATCACGGGAACTAGCAGAAATCCCATCAAGGAGCTTCTTCCTGTTTTCCCAGTGTAAGGTCAATTATATAAGTGAAGAAGTTGTTTTTTAATTTAGGAACGAAAGGTTCGATCAGTGGCGGTCAAGTTTGCGGAAAAGTTAACGGAAAACGTCATGAGCCAAGTGAGTACTATCATCGTCTCCGAACCTTTTTTTTTACAAAGCACTAAGCCTCTAAATGGGCTAGTAGGCCCCATTGGGGTAGCTGCGTTTGAAACTTTACGAACAGTCTTGATCCTATCTTGACCCTTATTCGACATGGTTCTTTTCCAAACCGTAGAGCGCAATATTTTTTAAAGAGGCTATTACTTTTGAAAAAATCATTTACAGGCTCAGACCGATCTTCGCAGTTCAGTGCAAATGGATGAGTCCACCATCAGGATTACCGAAGTTTCAGGGGCGAAGATACTCGAGAAGGGTGCACAGGTAATTCATAGGAAGGCATTCTTTTTGTTATTCTGCTTACCCCCGAAGGTTCAGGAGC